GACATACACCAACTATCAGGTGAGAAAGAGACACAAGGCCAGAGAGAAGTGAAGAAAGACATGTTAGAAAGATTCCCTAAAGAATACTGTTAGCTACACAGAGACAGACCAATAAAATCATGAAACAGTGTAAGATAGAAGGCAAACAATGAAAGTGATCAAAACAAACAGTCAAAATGATAAAATCATAAGTCAAAATAAGAGATCAGAGTAAATTCACTTCAGCTCTGAACCCCAGCCTCTCCCCTTTGTTTTTCATTGCATGCAGCTAGATTTACTCACAGTTTGGGTTTGTTTTTGTTTTTGTTTTGAGTTGGAGTCTCACTCTGTTGCCCAGACTGTAGTGCAGTGGCCACTCTTGTCACTGCAGCCTCGCCTGCTGGGCTCCAGTGATCATTCCACCTCAGCCTTCCAAGTAGCTGGAACTACAGGTGCTGTTTTTTTTTTTAGCCTGCTGCCTGGGAGTTGCTTTTGTCTGATTCAGCATAGGGGTGGGGCTTTGTCTCCTGTTTAGCGATGTTACCTTAGGAACCGAGGTGAGGGTTGTTGATAGGTGGGTGGGGCAATGGAAATCTCTGCCTGGAGAATGGCCGAGGCAGATTCACTTTCGCAGATCCGTTTCTCTCCGCTTGTCGGTGTCCCCAAGCTTGGGGTCACACGCTGAGTGCTTCAGCCAGTGCGGGCCCAGAGCTCCAGAGCTCCAAAGCTTCAAAGGGCAGGCGGTGAGTGGTGAGAATGGCCCCGGGCCCCCCACTGGGTACTTCATCCAGGAATGGGACTGATGTCTCTGAGGGGCGGGTGCCCAGAGCCTCCCTGAATGACCAGCGACTTGGTGCTTGGTGCTGGGGGAGAGACGATGTAGCCAGGGAGGGAGCTGAGACCTGAGACTCCCACGCAGGCTGGAGTCATGTATGGTGGAACAGCAGCAGCAGGGGGCTGCAATATGCGGCCCTGCATGGGACCGAAGGTCCCCAGGCCTTGAACCAGAGTGGCTGGTGGTGGGCTGGGGGATGGGGGAAAAAAGTAAGAGTCTTTTTGGGAACTCAAGTTCGGAGAATCTCACAAGTCCACTTATGCCGTCGCCATCTTACTGGAACCTCTTCTTTCTTTCTTATTGTCTTCATGGTTGTGTGATTTTTCTATAGTAGTGTGTTTTGATCCTTTCATTTTATCATATGTGTATTTACTATAGGTATTTATTATGAGTTTTTGTAGTTACCATGAGGCTTACAATAATCTTGTAGTTATAACAGGTCATTTTTAGTTAATAACACCTTAAATTAAATTTGGTAGCAAAAGAACTCTACACTTTTACACCACTTCCCCCACCACACACATTTTGAATTTTTGTTGTCACAGTTTACACTTTTTTTGTGCAAATTCCTTGACATATTATTGCAGCTATTATTATTTTTAATAGTTTCCTTTAACTGTCATACTAAAGATAAAAGTAATTTACACACCACTATTGTAGTATTAGAATATTTTGAATTTGACTGTGTGCTTACCTCTACCAGTAAGTTTTATATTTCCAGATGTTTTTTGTGTTACTCATTTTTGTCCTTTTCTTTCACCCTAATTTTTATTTTTGTTTTGTTTTTGTTTTTTGGTAAGGCAGAGCTGGTGGTGATGGACTCTGTCAGCTTTTGTTTGACTTGGAAAATATTTCTCTATCCTTCATTTCTGATGGACAGATTTTGTGGGTACAGCATTTTTGGTTGGCAAGTTTTTCCCCCTCTGTAGTACTTTGAATATAACATTTCATTCTTTCCTGGTGTGTATGCTTTCTACTGGTAAGTCTGCTGCTAAGCATTTTGCTCCTTTCCTCTGAAGCTTTCAGAATCTTCTCTTTGTTGTTGACATTTTGATTATAATATGTCTTGGGAAAGTTATATTTAGATTGATAGGAGACTTTTGACTTTTGTGTGCTTAGATATTGATATCTTTCCCCAGGCTTGGAAGGCCTTCTACTATTATTTCTTTAAATATACTTTTAATACTTTTATCTCTCTCTACTCCCTCTTGAATGCCAATGACTTAAACATTGGTCTTTTTATGCTGCCCCATAATTCCTGTAAAATTTTTTTGTTTCTTTTCATTATTTTTTCCTCCTATTTCTGTATATTTTTAAATAACCTGTCTTTGGGTTCACAGTTTCTTTTCTGTTTGATCAATTCTGCTGTTGGTTCTCTTTATTGCCATTATTATTTTACTAATTTTATTTTTAGCTTCTGAATTTTTGGGTTTTTAAAAAATTATTTCAATCTCTGTGTTAAATTTCCTATTCTTATCCCTAATTGTCTTCCTCATTTCATTGAATTTTGTCTCTGTATTTTCTTAAAGTCATCTGAGACTTCTTAAAACCATTATTTTGAATTTTCTTCAGGTAGTTTATATTTCTCCATATCTTTAGGGGTCAGTCACTGGTACCTTATTTTGTCTGTTTGGACACATCATGTTTTCCTCATTGTTCTTTATTCTTGTGCTTGTGTATCAATCTCTGTGCTTTTAAGAAGCAAGTATTTCTTTCAGTTTTTGTAGCCTGAATTTGTCTGGGAATGTCCTTCAGCAGTAAGCCTGTCCAGAGATACTGGGAAGGCCATCTGGTGTAGGCCCAGAACTGCCATTGCACTGCCAGGAGGCATTCTAAGTTTAAGATTATCATGGTCATCATGGCACCAGGCTGGAATCCCATGGTTGCCAAGGCTGGTACATCATTGGGTCACACCCAATGTCCACAGCAACTGGGGCATAACTGAAACATATGGATGCTGATGCCTTCCTGCTAATGAGATTTATCTGAAGCCCAAGGTGACTGTATTTGGCCAGAAATGATGTGGACTGCAGATTAAGTCCATTTAGCAGGGATTATGTGTTCCCTCCTGGTTCTGGAACAAACCTGGAGGCCCTTTGGCCTACAACCAGGGGTCATGGGAGTCTGCCCTGTGCCTGGTTTTACTATAGCAGGCTCAGTGTTCGAGTCTAAGGTAAATATCAAGACTTCCTTTTCTTTCTCCTAAGTAGATGGTATTACTCTCTGTGCTATGCTGCATGGGGATAAGGAGGGATGATGCAGGTAATGCAACACTGTTCTTTGTACCATATTTAGTACTTGGCTCAGATTTTCTTAAATGCTAGCAGCCAAAGTAAATAAATGAATGAATAAAGAGCAAAGTCTTTAGGTGTTTGCAGATTGACTCTGTGTTCAAGTCCTCTTTCAACATTTAATCATGTTTTTACAACTATATTAGCTTTCACTTCCAACTTATTCTGACCCTAAAGATCAGCCACAGATAAGAGTTTATGGTTTTCTCATGTCTTTTTATATTTTCCTCAACTTTATTTTCCAGAAGGATCTTTGTGTGGAAGTATGAATGTGTCACTCATTTCTGCAGTAAGCAGAAGGCCATGATCTCTTAAGACAAAGCAGGAGAGAGGCAACAGCAGGTTTTAGTCCACTTTTCCCCAATATCTTTTCACAGAGAAACAACAGATCTCTTCTCAATGCCAAGTCTCAATTTTACCTACTGTACTCACATCACATTCCAGTTTATATCTGTCTTCCTTCTCACATTTTATTATTATTTTTTTATTTCTTGAATTTTTTTGTTTAACTCATTTTCTCACAGATGATTTTAGTGCATGGTAGCCAGAAATCTAAGCTAATCGCTATCTTAGCAAGAACTTGAACCCAAAGGCTCAGAGAAATTAAATAGCACATCCTAAGGTGGTCAGACCTGGAAACCCTTTTGACCATGTTTGGAATCAAAGCTTCCTGTACTCCACTTGCTGTTCTGATTTTCTTTCACCAAAGTATACAGCTTTCCCAGGAGATACCCCAGAGCAAACACCACATCTTAATGTGTAGGCATAGATATATATATCCCTGAGGGCAAACTTGTTCAACACAAAATCACTAATATGCTCTGTAGTCCCTCCTCACATATCCTTAGTAAGTGCTGAGCCTAGGAAGCAAATGTTTGAAACTAGAGCAATTACTTCATGTTTGTTTTGAGGAGTGCCCAGGGAATCATACTCCTGAGGCCCAGAACCTAGAAATAGTTCTGGGACAATATGCACAAAGAACATCTGACATCCAACACTGAAATCTGGGTGATTACTTTGTAGCTGACCCCATGGAACCTGCAGCTCTGGATCCTCTCATACTTCTCACTTGTTATAGGCTAAGAAAAGTCCTGAGTTCTCTGAGACAAAAGAGAACAACTGTGGTAACAGGGTAGGTTACTGTAGCAGTGAATACAGTCTAAGCCAGAAAAATATGATGAGTACTGAAAGAAAGAAGCAGAGTTGTGCTTTTCTGAGACCTTCAAAGATCCCAGGCAGTGTTCACACCTCCTGTATCTCAGATTATTTCGAGATAAGGAGAGGGAAATATGACTTTATACCTGTAGTATGGGTTACCTATGTCTGCCTCCTGCTGATGTAGAGGTTTATATCAGAGGTGGCTGTGTTGCAAAGTACTTAAGAGTATGAGATTTGGCTCCAGAGTCCCAATTTGTATTTACTGTCTTCTCTGTGATATTGTGTAAAAACTACTTAATTTCAATGAGCTTTGAAAACTCAACGGTGATATGTGTGTAGCAATATTTATGAATATTCAATTAAATGCTTCATTATGTAGTGTTCATTATATAGCAATCTTTTATTGCCTATGTGTTAGGTAAGCTGAGAATCTGGAATCCAGGGAAAGTGAATGTTAATGAATATATAGCAAGGATGGAAGTAACTGAAACTCACCTCTTCAACAGTACCCATCACTTTGCTTCTGTGTTTTAATCCATCTGCCTGCTTGTTTTCTCTTCCTAGATGGATTAAGTTGTAGGAAACAATAAGCAAAACCTGGAAGGAAGGCCAGCGACCTGGATTATAGACACATGTAAATAGGGTAAAGGCTGTCTCCATTAGAGTAGGTTATACGTACCACTATTTCTACAGTTTTTGACATGTCTCTCTTCTTTTCATTCAGAAAAAGTGGTAGCATGGAAAAAAGTAACCAGTACAATGTCTCTGAATTCCTCCTCTTCGGTCTTTCTGAAAAGCCAGAGCAGCAACCTCTCTTATTTGGCATTTTCCTGGGCATGTACTTGGTCACCATGTTGGGGAGTTTACTTATCATCCTAGCCATCAACTTTGACTCACATCTTCATACCCCCATGTACTTTTTCCTGGCCAACCTCTCTTTTGCTGATACTTGTTTTGCCTCCACCACAGTCCCTAAGATGCTGGTGAACATGCAGACACAAAGTCAGACCATATCTTATGGAGAGTGTTTGACTCAGATGCATTTTTTCATGATGTTTGGGGCACTGGATGATTTCCTCTTGGGAGTAATGGCCTATGACCGCTATGTGGCCATCTGCAAGCCTCTTCACTACTCCACTCTCATGAGTCCTCTTGTGTGCATACTTCTTCTTGCAGCATGCTGGATTCTCACCAACCTTGCTGCCCTCTTACACACCCTGCTCATGGCAAGGCTTTCTTTCTGTGCTGGCAACACCATTCATCACTTCTTCTGTGATGTGGCCCCTCTGCTCCAGCTCTCCTGCTCAGACACAAGCACAAACAGGATAGCCCTGTTCACTGTGGGCTCTATTATACTCACCGGTCCTCTCTCCCTGATCCTTCTGTCATATGTACGCATTATCTCCACCACTCTCAGGGTCCCATCTGTTTCAGGCAGGCAAAAGGTCTTCTCCACCTGTGGGTCCCATCTCACTGTTGTCTTCTTATTCTATGGTGCAGCAATTGGTGTCTATCTGTGTCCTCCTTCATCACAGTTAGAGGGTAAGGACAAGGTTGCAGCTGTATTTTACACAGTGGTGACCCCAATGCTGAACCCCTTCATTTACAGCCTCAGGAACAAGAATATGAAGACAGCACTGAGAAGGCTTTTTGACCTGACTGCACTTTTCTCTCAGAGACTCTAACTTTATGTCCATATTTGGAGGTTTGGTGTTTGAGAAGCAATAAACTCCCTCACATTCCTGTGCTTAGCTATTAGAAAAAAAATTATCTTAAAAAACCAGTCCCACAAGGTCAAATCTGAATCTGCATGTGCTTGTGTACCTTTGTAATACTTTCATGGTGGACTTGGGTTGCATATGATGTTTACATTTATTTCTCTCCTGTCTTTAGAGAGCTCTCAGTCTTTCTAGGGCAAAATCAATCAAAATCTAATTTAGTTGTAGATGCACTAATAAATGTGAATATTTTTTAAAGATACCATTTGACAGCATTTCTTTATTGTTACCCTTTGTCAAGCATTAGACATGGACGATACTGAAATAAGGAAGCCCTCACTCTTTAGGAACTCATCTTCTTTTTTTATATTTTAATTTATTTACAGATTATAAAGATGTGGGGTACAACTCAGGGTTATGCATACTAACATTGATCATGCAGGTACCCTTGTTGATGAGGTATGCCCTCCCTCCCTTAGCAATTTCCACCAACTGCCAGTCCCACTCTCCTTCACTTGACAGTTTTCCGCTACTGCCAATCGCTTTCTTATAGCATTATAATTGTTTAAGGTCACCTTATGAGTGAGAACATATGGAACTCAGTTCTTGGTTCCTGTGATAAATCACTGAGTATGATCGACTCCAAATCCATCCAATTTGCTGCAAAGTCAATATATTTGTCCTTCTTTATGGCTGCATAATATTGTGTATATGTACCACATTTGTTTTATCTAGTTCAGCTTTGATGGGCAACACGATTGGTTCCATGTTTTTGCTATTGTGAATAGAGCTGCTACAAACATATGTGTGCAGATTTTTTTTTGTAGAATGATTTGAGTTCCTCCAGATATATTCTAAATAGGGGAATTGCTGGGTCATATGGAAGGCCAATTTCTAGTTCCTTCAGAAATCGCAACACTGTCTTCCAAAGAGGTTGTACTAGTCTGCATTCCCACCAGCAGTGTAGAAGTGAGGAACTCACTTTCTAATGCATGTAGTTGTACATTATGCAAGTAACCATAAAGCAGATGTGGTCATGATAGTTTTATCATATGTTAATATTTATTTTATTCCGTGTACTTAGCTATTTTATATGTATCATCTCATTTGGTCCCTCTATATTGACCATCTTGAAGTGGGTGCTATAGTTATCACATTTTTGAGATGAAGAAACTCTTTACTAGTAAGTAATTGCTACTGTATTCTGCTTCTCAATGCTAATGTTTATGTCAAGAAATAAACCCATATTCAACAAATTATGTGTATATAGCTAACCATCATATGCCATGTTGTGCTATGCACCATTGCTAAAAGTAAAAATGAGTAAGATATTGTTCTTGTCCTAAGGTGATGGAGACTGACGCATGATCAATTTCAGGTTCTCAAGTCAGACTGTGATAGTTGCCGTATTAAGGGTTACAACACAGAGAAAGAAAAATAATTCCACCTGGAGTTGGTTAGTTGCCATTTTAACCTATGTAGTGACATTCAATTGAGCCTCAAAATGTGAGTATTTGAAAGAAAGAAGAATGAGGATTCCATAGGGACAGACTGTTTGCAATAGAGGCCATGCTGGTTCATGCAGCCTGCCCAATCCCACCTTGGAAATGATCTTTTAGTGGTTTTTATACTGAAAATGTGTCTTTCCCTAGCATCTTCTGTCCAATTCCATGACGTCTCTGGTTTCAATCTATATTTTGTCTATCTATGTCTTCTAGGTGTAGTTTTTTTTTAGTTATGATTGCAGATTATTATGACTTGGGTCTTTTAAGAAATTTTGATAACTCAATATTCCCTACATCTATAAAGATGAAATCTTAATATCTTTATTTTTTAAAAATCTCTTGAGACAATTCTAATATGTAGCTAGAGTTTGGACACACTAATCTAGTCATTTATTTGATATGTTTTTTCTTTTTTAATTAGCACATCATAATTGTACATATTTATAGGATAAATGCAATATTTTGATACATACATACAATGTTCAATAATTAAGTCAGGGTGATTGAAATATTTGTCACCTCAACCACTTATTATTTATTTGTGTCTTCTTTTAATGTGTTTAATGATTAATTTCCATTTGACCATTGTTTTAGATGAAACTGATCAACTTTGATATGTTGTCTCTTCAATATCCAGAAAATTAAAATATTGTCTTATGTCTTTTGTATTTTTTTTATTCAACTCATGGGATAATTTAGAAGTGTGGTGGTTAATTTCAAAATATATTATATATGAGTTTCCTAGATACCTTGTTTTTTTAAAACTTTTCTGTTTTTAATTTTTTTACACCTCAAATTGCATTATTAAATAATTTTAGACTTACAAAATATTACAGAAATAGTAAAAAGCATTCTCATATGCCCAATGATCAGATTCCCTAATAACTATAGTACAATTACCAAAATCAAGGAATTAACCTTGATAACACTCTATTGAATAGTCAACATATCTCATTCAAATATTGTTAATTATCTCAGCAATGTCCTTTTTTCAGGTCCAGGATCACACAATGCATTTCACTTTAATGTTAGACAGTTCTTCTGTCTTCACGACTTTGATACTTTTGATGAATAGCAGCCATTTTGTGAACTGACACTCAGTTTGGTATTATTTGATGTTTCCTCATGATTGAAGTCAGGTTATAGCATTTTGACATACCACAAAAGTGAAATTGTGTAATTCTTATTACTTCATATCAGGAAGTAAATTGTGTTGGTTTGCTTTATCACTGATGATGTTTATTCTGACCAGGTGGTTAAAGTGTTGTCTGTTAGTTTTCTCTAAATTTCCTATTTCCCTTTATAAAAAGTAAGTATCTATGGGGAGGACTTTGAGCCTGTGTAAATATCCTGTTTCTCATCTAACTTTTGTCCACTAATGTTAGCATTCATTGATGATCTCTGCCTGCTGTAGATTGAATTGTGACCCATAAAATTTATATGTTGAAAGTCTAATCCCCAATCTGATGTTATTGGAGATGAGGACTATGGGAGGAAATTAGAGTTGAATAAAGCCACGAGAGTGGGATCCTTATGATATAATTAGTGACATTATTAGAAGAAGAAGAGAGAGATCACACTCTCTGTCATGTGAGGACTCAGCTAGAAGATGACCATCTGCAAGCCAGAAATAGAACCCACGCCAGGAATGGAATGGCGGGCACCTTGATCTGGACTTGTTAACCTCCAAAACTGTGAGAGCTAAATGTCTATTGCTTAAGCCACCTAGTCTATGGTATTTTTAATAGCAACCTGAGATGACTAATATACTGCCTAAATTAGTTATTACTATGAGTTTTCCCCAATGATGATTTTCTGACTCCTTTTGTCTTCTTGGTTGTTATTAAATAGAATTTTGCTGTAAGAAAGAGGGTTCTCTTCTCTTCCATTTATCTTCAACTACTTCAACACATATTCATGCATATTTGTTGTATTATATGAGTTATAATCCAATACTATCATTATTTATTTAGATACTTAAATTCTCTAAGATTTGATATTGAGTGCCAATTTAAACTAGCTCCTGTGCCCTTGTAACATGCTTCTGTCCTTTTTGGAGTCTTTCTTCACATACTGGTATCAATAGATACTTCAGGTCATCTTGTATTTTTCTTGCACAGTCCTGGATTACCTTTTCTTCAAGGAACCCTGTTTCCTTCTATTGGAGATAATATCTGAGTGGCAGATTTTCTCATTGTCTTGCAAAATCTGAGTACTAGATTTGCTCATTGCTACTGTGATGCCATAGCTTCAAGTCCTTTACAGAAGAAAGAACTAGGGAATATATGTGTATACACACATGTAAACATCCATATATCTTTGTCTATTTTCTATCTTATTCATCTTTCATATATTATGTCTATCTATCATCATCTATCTCTATCTATCTATCATCTATTTATCATCTGTTTCTATCCATAAATTTATACCAGTCCCAACCCAACACCATGGAGTTCAATCTAACCTTCTTCCTTTATTTATTTGTAACTCATTTCTCCAACCGTGAGGAATCTGACTCTCATTATACACAAGTACGTGCTTATCTGCTCAACCCCAGATTACACATAAATTAGTTTCAGAATTTCTAACCCATAGCTCTCTGAAAAAAGAAATCTTAGTCCAATATTTGAGCTTGATTTTCCTTTTTGTCTTTCCTTAGATTATATAATCAAAATGCTTTCTAAAATTATTTAGGTTAGTTTTATTCTTTTCTGCTCTTTCAGTGTTGTTATTTGTTAGTCTGCAAGAAAATGAGGTTCATTTGTTACTTCTATCTTGGTTGATTTTGATTACTTTTTAAAAATTATGTGTAACATTAGTGTAGTTCTACTAGTCAGAGCTAAACATAAATGCATATGCCAAAAAGCATCTCTTACACTTTATGCCTTCTTCTCTGTTCCTATTACTCCATTCTGTTCACCCCATATCCACACATTCTTTATATAGAAAAAACATCATTAGTTTTGATTTATCATTCCTTTGTTTCTTTTTACAAAATTGAACAGACATGTCTATTTTTTAATAACCACTGATATGTACTGTCATTTTTATTGCTTTTTTCCTGAATATTTTCTATCCATGTTTAGTTGAATCTGCCAATGCAGGATCCACAGATATGGAGAGTCGATTGTACTTTTAAGGTCTTTTTTAAAAAAGTCCTCTGTTTATGTCTTCTCATTTTACTATGGTATTTTTGTTCCTATGTGCCTTATTTTCAGAGAGTTTTTAATATATGGGTGATATTAGCCCTTTATTTGTTATATATATTACAAATATATTTTTTCAGTTTGTCAATTGCCTTTAATCAGTTGTCAAATTCATCAGTTTTATTGACTTTTGATTTTAAATGAAAGTGTTTTCTACACTGAAGTTAAAGAAAAATTTACCATGTTTCCTTCTAGTATATGATTCAAGTTTTTACATTTTGATCCCTGACACATTTGAATTTTAGCCTTATATATAGTTATACATATTTCATTTTAACTGACAAATAAGAATTTAATATATTTATGGTATACAATGTTTTGATATACAGATCTCCCTTGCTTAACAGTGGGGATCCATTTTCAGAAATGCATTTCTAGGTCATTTCGTTATTGTGTGAACATTATAGAGTGTACTCACACAACCTAGACAATAGAGCCTACTATACACCTAGGCTATGTGGTACATGGCCTATTGCTCCTAGGCTACAAACCAGCATAGTATGTTACTGTACAGAATACTGTAGGCAATTGTAAACAATAATAAGCATTTGGATATCTAAACATAGAAAAGGCACAGTGAAAATAAAGTATTAAAAATTAAAAATAGTAACCCTGTAGAGGGCACTTGCCATGAATGGAGCTTGCAGAACTGGAAGTTGCTCTGGGTGAGGCAGGATGTGAGTCGTGAGTGAATATGAAGTCCTAGGACATCATTGTACATTACTGTAGACTTTATAAACGCTGTACACTTAGGCTGCACTAAATGTATTAAAAAGTTATTTCATTAATAATAAATGAACCTTAGTTTTCTATAACTTTTATATGTTATAAACTTATAAATTATTTTGTCCAAGATATTTTCTTTCTCTATATTCTTAATATATGTTTTCATATCCTTGAAATTTATTATTGTTTGCTAATTAAACTTTAAAAATAGGACACCAACACACACACTTTAGCCTAGGCCTGCAGAGGGTCAGGGTCATCAATATCACAGTCTCTCCCCCTTATATGTTGTCCCTCTGGAAGGTCTTCAGGAGCAATAACAGACATAGAGCTGTCATCTCCTATGACAACAATATCTTCTTCTGAAATACTTCCCGAAGCAAATGCCTGAGGCTGTTTTACAGTTAACTTCTTAAAATAAGCTTTTGGGGTATACTCCAAAATAACAATAAAATGTATAGCGTAGAAAAACAACCAGCAACATAGTTGCTTATTATCATTATCAAATATTATGCACTGTATGTAATTGTATGTACTACATTTTTATAGAACTGGCAACACCAATGGTGTGTATACACCAGCATTATCATGAACATGCAAATAACATGATACACCATGACATTCATAGTGGTTATGATGCTACTAGGATACAAGAATTTTTGAACTCCATTATAATGTTATGTATATGGTGGTCTGTTGACCAAAATGTTATTATGCAGTACAGGACAGTATGTATTCATTATGGACTGGCTTTTTGCATAAATGGCTAACCGGTTTTTTCACCACAAGTTATTAAACACTGCATCTTTGCACCACTAATTTGAAGTTTTGTCTTTATCACATACCAAATTTTTATCTATAAGGATTCTATTCTATTCTACTTGCTTATTTGTTTATTCATTCACTAGTACCATACTCTTTTAATTACAGTATTTGAAGAAATCGTTTCTACTTTCAAGCAGCTAAAAATATATGGCCAAAATAGGTATATAAGCAGATATTTAGAGTAGGGTGAGACAATGTTTTATAGAGAGGGTTGCAAAAGCCTATGGGCACACACAGGAGTGAATTAATAATTCCCTCTGAATGGAGTCCAGAAAGATCTATAGAGAAAGCAACATATGTGATGTGACTTTAAGTTAGGATAGGTCATTGCAAAATAGAGAATAGGGGAAACCTATTCAAGGTAAGGGGAATAGGATATAGAAAGGTACAGATGTATGTCAAGAAAGAAAACTGAGAGACTGTTGCTCTGCAAGTGAGGTGACATGAGGATCTATAGTTTCTGATCTGTTTCCAACCAATTCCTTGATGTCATCAATTTTACAATGTATGGAGACTGGGAACTTAAAATGGTCCTTGACCATTAATTTATTGGTTGTTGTATGCTTCATTCAATTTTTCCTCAAACACTAGAAAGCAAGAAGGCAACAGGAAAAAATCAGCAATTCCCTGCTGTTATAGTAACCCTGGTCAATATATCACTAGAAAGCATAGGTAGAAGCAGAGAATTGCAATTACATGCGCCATTCAAGGAGGAGGCAGTTCAGGATCATGATAAATCTTTAGTATAGAGGCAATTTCCCCAATATCTGTTTTAAGGTTAAAGGCTAATTTTCTGTTACCAGACATTCATTTATTGGGATAAATATTAGGGGGAAAATGTCACCTTGTACATTTAAAAAGACAAATGTAAAACTGAGAGGAGAATGGGAGGGAGGGGAGGGAAGGAAAGGGGAGAGAGGAGAGGAGAGGAGCAGAGAGGGGAAGGAGGGAAAGGAGGGGAAAGGGAAAGGTGGGAGGGGAGCAGGGGAAGGGGAGGAAAGGGAAGGGGAGATTGGGTATGATTTGTGTTTGAAGTGGAACTTTCAGATTGCAGCATATGTATGCTGTGCTAAGCAATTTGTATGTATTATCTTTTTGAATTCTCACAACAGCCTTAGATAGTCGTTATTGTTAGTACTCTCTTGTTTATTTTTGAAAATTGAAACTCAAGGATGTTGATAACTTGCAGAGCAACAGTCTCTCAGTTTTCTTTCTTGACACACATCTATACCATTCATCAACACACTTGATGAATGATAGAGCCAGCACCTAAACCAAGGTATTTCTGACTTTAATGTATTATTTTGATCTAAAGTTTATTTTAAAAATCCAAGTTCATCAGTGATATCTCAGTAGACTGACAGTTATGTACGGAAGAAATTAACAGAATAAAGAATTTCTCCTGTGGATTATTAAAAACTCCTTTGGGCCAAGCTCAGTGACTCACGCCTGTAATACCAACACTTCAGGAGACCAAGGTGGGAGGATTACTTAAGCCTAAGAGTTTGAGACAAGCCTAGGCAACATAGTGAAACCTTGTTTCTACAAAAACAATACAAAAATTAACTGAGTGTGGTGGTGTGCACCTGTGGTCCTAGATACTTGGGAGGCTGAGGTGGGAGAATTGCCCAGGCTGCAGTAAGCTAGAATTATGTTACTGCACTCCAGCCTGGGTGACAGAGTGAGACTCTGTCTCAAAAACAAATCCTCTGGAGGATGTTAAAATATATCCTCAGCATCTTCTCTAGAGGAGATGCAGTAATGAAATTGATCATTGCATATTAAACATGGGCTATTTAATATTAAACATGGGCTGTTAACACAATTCTGAAGAATGTTTCAATAAAAGAAACTCAGTGAGAGGCAGACTAATGTGGTTCAACAACTCTTATCTCTCATCACGTGACCTGATTCATAAGTAATTTCAGATCATGTAACCAGAGACTTATGCCCAAGTAGAGGGAGGGAGCACTCCCTTAGGAAGGTATCAGATTCCTTGAGGGCTTTTACACTTTTGTCCTCTAGCTTCTTATTTGCCTTTTCTCATCTTCAAATCATTTGTTAATATTGAGAGAAGTTGTTGATTAGAGTGATATATGTGAACAGCGTGAGGAAAAAAAAATAAAACAAAGAAAACTAATAATTGAGAGGAATATGTAGATTTCATGTCTATCAGGTATGCTGTAATCTTCAAGAGTATATACTAGGGAAGCAGATACCTAGATTCAAATTCTAGCTCTGCCACTTATTAGCTGTGTAACCTCAGGCAAGTAATTTACCTCTCTGAGTCTTTGTTTTCACTTCTGTACAATGAAAAAGATGAAAATATTTATCTTAAAGGATTATATTGAATATTGCTGAAGATAATAAAATCTAAGCATTAGACCTGGCACTAGAAAATTTATATACACATATGTCATACATATTTATAGATATATGTAGATACACACATATATTTCACTGTACGATATAAATTATTTTATTAACCCCTTTTATGAGTGAGGAAATTGCAGCTCAGTGAGATTATTTAATTTGCCCTCGGTTGGAAAGCTAGCAAGTGGAAGATCCAAGATTGGGACTTAAACATCAAGATAACTCAAGTTGATTTTCCCTGAATTCCCGAAATGATGTCCCTGGCTTCATGAGATGTGTAGCACTCTTCTTCTCAGGAATCTCTGCAAAGCAGTCTTCATGTCTTTGTTTCTCAGACTATAGATGAATGGGTTCAGCATGGGGGTCATAATAGCATACAATACTGCTGCAATCCTGTCCTTGCTGGCTGAATCAACAGTGGAGGGGGTGAAGTACACCCCAATAGCAGACACATAGAATAAGCAAACTGCTGAGAGGTGGGAGCCACAGGTGGAGAAAGACTTCCATTTTCCACTTGTTGATGGGATTCTCACAATGGCAGCCACGATGCAGACATATGAAATAATGATTAGCAAGGGGATCAAGACAGTTAATGCTCCTCCCCAGTACATCAGTACACATTGGTTGGCATAAGCACTGGAGCAAGAGAGCTTCAACAGGGGGAGAAGTTCACAAAAGAAGTGAGGAATAACATTGTCAGTGCAGAAGGATAACTGAGCTAGGAGAATGGTGTGAGTTAGAGAATAGGAATGGGCAAGGACTAGGGACATGACCATCAGCAGGGTACAGCATCTGGGACTCATGACCAAGATGTAGTGAAGGGGGTGGCAGATAGCTACAAGCCGGTCATATGCCATCACTGCTAGGAGGAAAACGTCTAGACCAATAAACCACAGAAAGAAATAAATCTGAGACAGGCATCCAGCATAGGAGATGGTATGCCTGTGAGCCTGGATGTTCACTAGCATCCTGGGGATTGTGGTAGATGATAAACACAGGTCCGTGAGGGCAAAGTTGGCCAGGAAGAAGTACATGGGGGTATAGAGGTGTGGCTCAGAGACAACGGTCAGGATGATGAGACTATTCCCCACCATAGTGACCAGGTATATGACCAGGAAGATGCCAAAGAGGAGAGGCTGCTGTTCCTGCCACTCAGAGAGACCCAGGAGGAGGAATTCGGAGACACTTGTGTGGTTTCCTGGATTCATGTCACGGTGTAACTAAATAATAAAATGGAGGATGTCATTTCAAAAACTTTTCTCACCCTAGTATTGTCTCATAAAAACAAAGGCATACAATAAAGATAGCAACCGAATATTAGTAGCTGTGCATTATGTCATTGAAACTTGGAAGAGCCCTATGAAGTATTTATTATTGTGCTCATTTGATTGATGAAGAAACTCAGTATCTCCTAGAAAAAGGCAGAGAAAATTTAAATATTTAACTAATCTGCCTCTGATAAGGCAACCATAACTAAATCTTTTACTTGCTCCATATTCATTGAATTTACTATGTGTATCTTTTTTGGGTATCAGAGAAATAGTGGTAAAGAATACAGCAAGGAACCTTCCCTCATGTACATAATGTTTTGGCCAGAGGAGTCTTGTAATAAACAAACAGATTTTAAAAAGTACTGAAATGAAAGTAAAATATAGCGATGGCTAGCAGATTACTTTAAGTTGAGTGGTCAGCAAGTAACTCACTATGGAGGAATGGACAAGAAGCAGCTAGCCAAGAATAGAATTGGTTGGAAGAGTATTTTAGAAGCAAAAACAGTAAGTGCAAACAGAGGAATGAGCACATGTATTTGGAAGAAAAGAAAGAAGGGAAATGCAATTCAATAAAGATGATCAAAGGAGCCTGGTAGGAGATGAGGTTGAGGGGGTGAGGAGGAGCAGGTCGTTTATGACAGTAGAGTGCAGATTAGGGGGTTTGGATTTTATTCTCAGGACGGTAAGAGTCCTGTGGGGTTGTGTGGGTTGTTGAGCATCAGATGTTTGTGGTCTGATTAGTGATGTGGAAAGATCATTCTGTTGCTGTGTAGAGAAGGAGGGAAAGAGCAAGAGTGCAAGCAGGGAGGAAAGTGAAGAAATACATCCAGGATCCAGGATGGAATCTGGGCAGACAGAGTGAGGTGGAGGGATGTGGGGTGTGTTTCAGATAGTTTATTGACTTGTTTAAGGAAACATACAGGTGGAACAACAGGGTCCCAGAGTAAAAGGCTTTTCAATCCAATCCTCCTGCTGTACCCTGGATTAAGATAATTTCCTCTGGGGAGATTACCTTAATGGGGTCCTTTGAAAATTATATGGCTAAAAATATCTGAGAAATCTCTAGAATAGCTATCAAATGGCAGAATACATGGACTGCTCTGAAAACTTAAGAAGACTGAGAGGAGGGGTGCCAGAGGTGTGGATGACTGAGTTATTCTCAGAAGGAAAGAGAATGAAAAAGGCAAAGGGTTCGGAGACAATCTCAGGGTTGGAGATACAAAAGTAACTTATAATGTGTTTACTATGTGCCAATGACTTGTATTATTTAATCCATACAGTTTTGCTATACATCTTTAAAAAAAAATTTTAGATTCAACAGGGTTCATGTGCAGGTTTGGTTACATAGGTATATTGTGTGATGATGAGGTTGGACTTCTATTGAGCCTGCCACCCTTGCTCATGAGCATGGTACCTGATGGGTGGTATTTCAACCCTTATTTTCCCTTTCTTCCTCCCCACTTTAGTGGTCCCCAGTGTCTGTTCCCATCCTTGTGCCCATACGTTATGTGCTGTATATCTTTTCCTTACAGGAAACAAAGAGCTCAGAGAGCCTAACAAACCAGCCTAAGACCCCATAGCTAATAAAGGGATAAACCTACATTCAAATCAAGATCTTTCTTATACATAACCTTGAAAGTTAGTCTGTGATGCATTTTTACTCCCTGAGGTGGGCAGACTTTTTTCTCTTGGATAATACAGGCATTTGTTAACTATCTTGGGAATGTAATCTTGTGGAATACATTCTTCTTTAAAATGCTTCCACAGTGGGTCCAAGGAGTCGTGATTACAATTTTTATCTATCCAAATGTTTATTGATTGCCTGCCTGAATGTTTATTGATTGTCAGGGTTTACTCTGTGCACTGGATATTTTAGATTAAACAAAACAAGCACAGTTCCTGCACTTACAGGCTAATTTGGGACACTGACAATAATCAATTACACAATTAAACATATAGCCAGAAACTCTGATTAGCACTGAAAAAGAGAGATATGGTGGTACCATTAAGAAAGTATCTAGAGGAATCGGAGGGCCTAATTTATATTCGTTTCAGGAAAAACAAGATTGATAGAGGTAAATATAATTTGGAACCTAAAGGAGTAATTGGCTACATCAAGAGGAAAAGCAAGGAAAGTAAGTCTATAAATTTTGCAGCACATATAAAAGTCACAAAATAATAAAGTTCCTGACCAGTATGAGAAGACTAGTGTGACTGGAGAATAGTGAGAGGGTGCTGAATTACATAAAATATGACCCAGGCCCTCTGACCACAGAAGATTGAACCATGGGATCAACTGAGTCAAAGTGAGCCAGTTGGGTTTCTTTTCATAAGATGGGACTACTGATACACAGAGTTTAACCAGTTAGTTTGGGTTCCAAAGATATAAATTCACGTATAGTTGAGAAAAGAGGCAATGTCTTGGCCACTAGAGCATAAACCTTTGGGATGTATCACCAGAGATAAAACTGGAAAAAAATCTTGGAGCAGTCAAGAAGACTGACATTCCAGAAAGACACAGAGTAGCTGCCTCTTAATTTTCCAGTTTAATTTCATTATTTTGTATCTTCTTTCCCTCTAGCAAGACATGGAAAAACCTAATGCCCAAGAGTGCAGACTCTAGGGTAAGACAAATGTCAGCATAAATCCTTCCCCTGTCATTTGTTAGCTAAGGGAATGATTACAAAACATTTCAATTAACACAACACAACAGCAAGAAGTTAACAAGTACTGCCTGTAAGCATCCTGCCCAGGCACTGTGTCAAAAGTGCTTTGCTTATCTCATTAGATTTTCACTGTTTTATAAGATTAATTATTTTTTTCAGATAAGGAAACTGAGGTATAAAGAGGTAAAGTAACGTATCCAAGGTGACTTAGCTGGCAAGTAGAAAAGCTTAGACTAGAACTCTGGGTCTCTCTGATTCAACACTTACCAACAGATATCAACCAGTCTCAAGGCTATTGAGCTGTAGGGTCCTATAGCCTCAACATGTTCCTTTTAGATAATGGCAAATTGACACCACAGCCCCATCTGGAGAGTCAGCCTCTTCCCCTTGTGGAATGGGAATGAAATTCAGTGTTGTAGGAAACTGTGAAGTAGATTTCTGGAGTCACAATAAATGAAACTAGAGGCTCTAAGTGGGCTCAAGTGGGAATATTCCCCAGCTTCAAAGACCCCAGTTTTCTTATTAGTAATGGGAACAGAGACTAATTATCTCTGAATCCCTAAGGATAGAAGATGTACTGCTGTTTTCAAGTGGGATTTCTTTTCTATTTTTATACTCTCAAAGAGTCTTTCTCTTGTCTATCACCTTGGGGATACTGCTCTGGGTTTGTCACTGTCACTCTATTCACGTTAATCTGTTACTCAGATGGAAAAACTTGGGTAAATGGTCCAGAAGGAAACAGTAGAAATTAGGCATCTATTTCCTTATCTGATGCTAACATTGTTTTAGCCCAAGAATCTTGACCATTATTCAAATCCTTCTGTATGTTATTCTCTGCACAATGTGCAATTAGAGTATCTTTCAGTGTAAGTTTATTTATCAGTTTTGTCTGATTTACTTTGCTCAACATTTTGTTTGTGACATTCATTAATGTTTAGTGTGTACTTGGTTCATTTATTGTCACTCTGTTTAGAATTTCATTATATAAATATGCTACAATTTTTTTTTGAGTTGGAGTCTCACTCTGTGGCCCAGACTGGAGTGCAGTGGCCACTCCCAGCCACCACAGCCTCGACCTGCTG